TGACAAGTCTTTCAGTCCAAAGGCAGCTCACAACACGTGCCACACATACTGATGGCACTTGGGTCTTTCTCCCTCCCCCAGGGGACCAACCACGGTCAGTTTCTGGACCCTACCGGAAGTGAAAAGAGAGTGATAAATTTTGAAAGGACTGGAAGAACTTCAAATTCAAATGATCAATTGGGGAAGTGAACTGTCTGAAAGGAGAAAAAATCGCCAGACCCACCAGGAATCGAACCCGGGACTTTGCTTGTCATGAGCAATGCTGGACTGCTGGTAGGGTCCAGAAACTGACCGTAGTTGGTCCCCTGGGGGAGGGAGAAAGACCCAAGTGCCATCAGTATGTGTGGCACGTGTTGTGAGCTGCCTTTAGAGTGAAAGACTTGTCAGCGCCTTCTAGGTTCAGCCCGGTCCCTTTGGACTGAAAGACTTGTCAGCGCCTTCTAGGTTCAGCTCGGTCCCATAGCTCAGTGGTTAGAGCATTGCTCATGACAAGCAAGGTTCCGGGTTCGAGTCCTGGTGGGCCTGGCGATTTTTTCTCTCTTCAGGCAATTCATTTCCCCAATTGATCCTTTGAATTATTGTTATTATTATTATTATATTTCCACGATGGCCCATGGCCAATAAGGAAAATAATATGATTCAAATCAGTCTAGCAAGTAAGGAAACCAACACATTGCAGGGGGGTGGGGTTACGATGGGGTACAGTGTGAGCTACTACAGGAGCATATGGATGATAGAATGAGGCTAGACGCCATTGATTTCTACCAGGCCCGAACGTATACGTACCTTGCCAGAGTGTTCAAGCGGACAAGTCAGTGAGCTCTGCATAACGCAAACAGCAAAGGCACTACCCCACGCAAGAGTGCTCAACTGCTACAAAAGCAGGAGCGAAATACTCAATAAAAAATAAAAATAAAAATTATCGTGTCCGTTCCCGAAGGGAACTCACGACTTTCTCATTTTCCATACTTACTTAGGAGACTCCCTTCGATAGGCATCTATATGCCTCTGGAGGATCCGTGAAATAAAAATCAATCAATCAATCAATCAATCAACGACGGCCGCTAACACCCGGTCATCACTAGTTGTTTTTTTAGAAACATAAACATGAACTCTCCAATAACAACAAGTAACTCCAGCACGAAAAAGGCCAAAAACTAAACCAAGAACATGTGCAATAACATGATATTTAGAAAGACAGGACAAGTGAATAATTAGTCAGTCCAGTGTTCATGATGGTCTGCGACGGTTACGTCGGTAAACCCTAGCGGCAGATGCAGCGCCTAACAGTGGGGGTGAGTTGATAAGTACATGTATCACAACTACTTTTTTGTAGCGTAAAGTACCGCCAGAGCGCCCCGTCTCGCGAGAGCGCCCCACCTTGATTTTACAGCCAAGGGAAGAAAATCGAATGGCAGAATGCTACTAAGTTTGTACGATGTGGGAACCTTCGTGTACTAAGGTCACACTTGGTATGCTTTTATGTGGAGCTCGAAGGTAAACTGGGTACGGATTGACTGCACAATGTGCAATGTTTGTACAAGGTCCGTGTCGTATGACCTACAGACAGGAATCCACCTCCACAAGGCGGCCACGAAAGGACGAGATGGTGGGGCGCTCTGGCGGTACTTTACGGTACTGGTACAAGTGCCGAGAACGTCCCCATTAGCTGCATCCATGTACCCCTTGTGCCTGGCCACAAGTTCCCAGTTGACGGTGGGTAGCAGAACGGCTGGAAAAACCGCTCCCAGGCAGGACTTGAACCAGGTGCCTCTCGTATCTCAATCATGGTCTTTGACCAACCCACTTTGCCTGTCTGGTAAATGCGAAATTCTCAATCTGCGGACAGAACTGTTTCGCCCTTTGTGGGCTCGTCACCGCAGCACAGAGGAAATGAGGCCGAATCTGGTGCTGTAGTATTGAAAAATAAATGTACGTGTACATGTACATACAGTACATGTATGTAGAATTGTAGATGCATGTAGAATGATGGCTATCATCATGGCTTGGGTGCGAGTTCGCAGCCAATTTGCAGTGATCCATGCAGTCGACCTCCGGCTACGCGGGTCTAGAAGGCGCCTGACAGGCCTGTCGACGCAGGATGGTGCTGGGGTAGGCATCGGCCATTGAAAACTGAATTCCGTCCGTTTTACGTGGAATTTCTTGGAGTCTCCCAATGTATTGTACTTGAATAAAATTCTATTTTAACTTTCATGGTATCTCAATTTTTTTCACGTCTACATGACTTTATTTTGCCCGTAAAAGAGGCCGTTACCCCGTAAAAAAAAAAATGTAGAATGATGTAGATTGTCGAGTACGTGTACTGTAAAAACCATAATGTACATGTACTGTATGTACGTACACTGTTCAGTGTTGGGAATTCCAGCAGAAGTCCAAGAGAGCGCGATACCGGGAACTGGGGAAGGTAGAGCCGTGACACACTAGTCAGAACAACAGATGGCTTGATCAGTCACAACTTAAAGTTTCATGCCGTCTCAGGCAGTCATCAGTGAACGTGAAGTTGAGCTACTCCTGTTTGCCGAATATGGCCCACATTATCAGTGGCCACAATAAGCGTCAATTGTGCGTCCAGGAACCGGACAAGCCGTGCAACTGCCGTCGCAAGGACCAGTGCCCTCTCAACGGAGCGTGCCAAGCAACCAGCATAGTCTACGCGGCGGAGGTGTCGAGTGATGGCCACAGCGATGGGCCCAAGACCTACATTGGCAGTACGGAGCCTCCATTCAAGCTTCGATACGGGAACCACAAGATATCCATCAAGCTTCCTGGATACCGCAAATCCACGGGCCTCTCAAAGCATGTGTGGGAATTGAAAGATAATGGCAAGACGCACGACATCAAGTGGCGAGTGGTTCAGAAGGCCTACAGCAACATAAAGAAAAGATGCAGCCTGTGCCTCGAGGAGAAGGCGAGATTAATCACTGCCGACGGGAGATCGAGCCTCAACAAGCGGTCGGAGTTGATATCCAAATGTCGACATCAAAATAATTCCATGCTATCAACACCGATAACATGATCTTCTCGGCACCCTGCTACCAGGCAGTAGGGCCAGTTGATAGCTCCCTGCCGCCTTGTCACAATCATCATCTTTGCACCGCGCATCTCACTACCTGGGCCAGCTCGATTTTATCACCTTTCTTAGTACCGCGATCCTTACTGGCTATGACACTGAATCGGATATGAGTTGATAGCGCCCCTAGCGCTTTCGGTTATCCTTGTCCCGCCATACTGGGCTTTAAATAGTGGGTTATTTTTCTTGATGTTCATAATTATCACCTGATGAGTGCCTGAGATGTCATGAAACGTTAAGTTGTGACTGATCAAGCCATCTGTTGTTCTGACTAGTGTGTACAATGTACATGTGCATTACATAGCAGACTCAGCGGAGGACGTTCAGGTTGGTTGTAACTCTAAATGTCTTGTCGTTAGGCAATCATCAGACAACTTAGAGTTACAACCAACCTGAACGTCCTCCGCTGAGTCTGCTACGTACTAAGGTCTGTCTCTGGCATTGAGCACTCTCTGCAGCTCGGCTATTCACGGATTTGTACATGTGACATTGTATATTATAACGAAGTGCTAATTTCAACGAGTTAACGAGGAGGAGGTGCTGTGATCTGGAAGCGTCGTATGGTCTCGTCGGGTCAAAATGAAAAACCTATTACTACTGTTCAAGTTGACGGACCTATTGAAGATGGCAACAAAAGAATGAGGAGAAATCTGTCTTTAAAATGCAATTCGTTATGCAGAAATGGACACAACATTGCGGCTATTGAGCGTTGAGAATTAGTGAGAATCGTTACCTTTGGTGCACGTAAACCAGTCTATTTTAGGAAGTCGTTTTACATGTACATGAACATACATGTACATGCGCCTCGTGACGTTAGAATAATGGCTTTTAAAGTAACCAGTAGTTACGTTTATTACTACTTGCAAATACTACTACCTGCTAACAGCAGCTTTAATACTTCAATCAATCCGTCCGTTTTGGTGTGGATCCCAACAACTGCTGGCTTATTCGGGAAGACGTTCACACGCTATCCTGACCTCGGACTCTGATTCTGAGGCTTCTTCATGCGCAGGTCTTCGCAAGAATATGCTAGTTTTCTGTTTCCTGCTTCTGCAAGTGCGCAGTGCAAGTTGAAGTTGAAAACCGCTCGAAGATTACATGTACATAGAGTGTTGTAGCTATCTTCGAGCGGTTTTCAACTTCAACTGCCCGGGGGTCCATCTGCTGGGGGGTCATTCTACTATACAGTTGAACATCGATTATCCGACCACCTCTGGGCAGACAACTGTCAGGCGGTGTTCAGATAAGGCAAATGTTCCGGATGAGAAAAAACTGTCACTCACACACTTTCAGTGGTTATTACTAGCCGCACGACCTTTTTACTTTTTACTTTTCAAAATTTTCGTATTTTTTTAATGGCTCACTACATGCACAGTGCGTACTGTACGGCACGTGCGCCCAAAAAAACTGTTACGGATAATTGAATGGTCGGATAGTCGATGTGCGGATAATCGATGTTCAACTGTAGTACACCGGCGTTAGGGGCCAGACAGTGTCAGAAGGGCCAGGGATAGGGGTAGGGCTAGGGATAGGACTAGGGCCGTGTGACGGATATACACATAGAGGAAGTTACTTGGTGAAGGTTGCTTACGTACCACTGTTATATAGAGCCATGCATGCAGTGCAAGGGCCTAGGGCCCGGGGAAGGCTTCGTAACAGTTAGAATCAGTTACACTGAGTGAGGTCGATACATGTAATGTAAAGACGGCTAGAGCTAGAGGCAACTAGACTCAGCTCAGATAGAGGCAACTAGACTCAGCTCAGATAGAGGCAACTAGACTCAGCTCAGATAGAGGCGACTAGACTCAGCTCAGATAGAGGCAACTAGACTCAGCTCAGATAGAGGCAACTAGACTCAGCTCAGATAGAGGCAACTAGACTCAGCTCAGATAGAGGCAACTAGACTCAGCTCAGATAGAGGCGACCTGATGAGATCTCGAGGCACTAAAGACAGAGCAAGGCATCTCAAAAGAGGGTCAACAGCCCTGCAGCAGCTGAAGACCCAAGGTACATAAAAGGATAGTAGTACGAGAAAAGTAAAGCTTTCATCCTGAGAGCTACTAAAATTTTGATTATCCCGATGACAAGTAGACTTCACTATTTTAAACTCTAGGCGGTACTTCGCCTGTACAAGAGTGTTTGCAAGTCAAACAAGAGCGCCGAGAACGAAGTAGAGAGAGGTAGGAGAAAGAGAATCGGTTCGTCTTGCAGCGTCATGGCCTTCAATATAACTACTGGTGGTGGAAAGAGCCTGATCGCTGGGGCCATCTTGCTCGTACTGTTCACCACTGTAATAACGAGGTCATTCTTAGCAGCTCCGTGTGGTTTAGAGAATCAGAGGCGGCCACGTGATGAGGCTCACCCACCGCGCCCCACGACCAGACCACCGGCACCGGCTGCACCGCTTGGCGTAGTGAAGGTGGCTGCGCAAGAAAGAAGCAGCTTCTGGGCCAGCACAGTCCGTGATACGTTTCCCAGCATCGCAATGCCAGCGACTCGGAGTGAGTGGATAGAGGCGATGCGGGCCTCCTTGTTTCTGCAGGGTTTGACACCCACCACGTCCTGTCTTCAAACACGATACGGCATACTGGGAGATGGAGGGAAAACCCTCTGCAACGTCCAGCAATTCCTGACCAACTCGGAGTGCCTTGTCTACAGTGTCGGCGTTCAGTACACGTGTGAGGTGGAGATGCAACTGAACCGAGATTTCCCACAGTGCACGATTCTCATGTTTGATCCCACATCCAAGGAGTTCTTCAAAACAGCCCGTTGCTGTAAGGTCAACAACATGCAATGTATACCAAAGGCTCTGGGTGGAGGAGACGGAGTGGCAGAGAAAGACAAGGTCGGCATCGCGGGAGCCACGCTGACGGAGCTCATGAAACAGCATGGTCACGAGGGACGGACAATCAATCTACTCAAGATGGACATTGAAGGCAGTGAGTACAACGCATTGGAATACTACATGAATAGTGCACAGATTGCTTTTCCTCGTGTTCATCTGCTGCTGATGGAGATTCACAACTTAGCAGACTCGTCTATTCGTGAACGCCTGAAGAAACTAATCGTGTGGCTGGAAAGTTTAGGTCTCAGTGTGTATTACGTTGAGCGCAATCCTTATTTTCCAATGACTGGTGCTGAAATTGCACTTGTCAATCGATCGCTGTTAGTACGTGTGTAGCTGCAGACTGCCAGGCTATAATTATGCTATATCGACGGAAGTTTGTCGAACTACCCAACGCGTTAACGTCTTTCTGCGTGGTTCCCTCGTGCAAGACCATCGCCATGCGCATAATTCATGCGGTCAATGATGCAAGACATTTCACCAGGGAGTCGTAAAATGCCGGTATTTTACGACGCAGGTTGACGCCTCGATACGTGATCAGAACTCCTCATTAATTTTGTATTTGTCATTATTTATCGAGTCGACCCGGGATAGCCCAGGCACCACTAACTATTCTGACACTGAGTTCGTATTCGATGAATAGGAAGACGATTCTATGTACTGTACTGTTGATCGCCTACTTAGAAGATCATCTTAGACACTTGGTAGAAGCACATTGGTATTGAGTAGAACTAGAAGTATATATTTCCTATTAATTTTGATTTTCATTGTATTGATTGTTTTGCACAGATCTACATGTACACACAAAAGACATAACGGAGGTTTACAGATTTGTCGCAACTCAGAGTTTCATCAGGTTTCATCAGGTTTCAGCAGGTTTCATCAGGTTTCATCAGGTTTCATCAGGTTTCAGCAGGTTTCAGCAGGTTTCATCAGACGGCTATAGTCTATAGTCTATAGTCTATAGTCTATTGTCTATAGTCTATAGTCTATAGTCTATAGTCTATAGTCGCCTGAGGATTGCATTGAGCAAGAAACTCTGAGTGGCGACAACTCCGTAAACCTCCGGTGTTCCTTTTGTGTGTGATAGTGCTCCAGATTACGGAGTTGAGCCCTCTCCGCTGGCAGAACGAAGTTGTCCTCCATGTACATGTTGATGACTAGAATTGCCTTCCATACACTGAACGATCCACGGACAGCAAGATGCCTGGTGATACCCCAGCCCTTGACACTTGCAGTTTGACTTTGAAAAGAAACAGTACAGCTACAGGTCAGCGAATTCGCCTCAGAGTTCTCTTGTCGCCTGTATCCGTGTCTAGTCGCTCTGGACACTGGTGCCTTGACTCTGATTGAGCACTTGTCCGAGCTCCACGACTTGGGCTGATTTTTCCATAATCTACTGCTTTTCCTCTCTTACAAAAATGAGTTTTGGTGCTAGGACCTCGGTAGAGTGTGGACAGGGCACTGTAATCTCAACAATGGTGAATACTCAGTTTGCGCACAGCTAGCCGTCAATGGAAACTTGACTGGGATTATTACCCATAAAATAATAATATTTATTAAATGTAAAAAGGAAAAGGACATATGGATACGAGTTAAGAGCAACTCTCCATCACTGTAACATGATACTATATACAGTCAGAAAGTGCAATAACTAGGCACAAAACTGACAGAGTACTGAAACATTCGACGTCCTGACACCTAACTTCAACACATCTCCGTAGCGCTAGCCGACAGTCTTCCAACTTGGAAGGTTCAAGGTTATGGAAAGACCAAATAAATATTACTATTTTATGGGTAACAATCCCAGTCAGGTTTACAGCGCGCACGCACACACACACACACACACATAATATTATACACACGCACACGCACACACACACACACACACACACACACATACATACATACACACCGCACACACACACACACACACATACATACACACCTTGATCCTTGATCGTTGATACACGTTGCCTTGATAGGTTACACGGTCCCCGTCAGGGGGAAAAATGAGCGTGCTTCCAGCAGGGCTCGAACCTGCGACATTCGCGTTATTAGCACGACGCTCGAACCGACTGAGCTATGGAAGCTCACATACACCTCAGACCTCAGACCTCAGACCTGCCCATCGCGGAAGCGATGATAGCGAACAGATATGTTAGACATAGCAACTTGTGCTGGGATTACACCATTCAACAGCTTGCAAGGCTGATGAAGTCACATACCCACACACACACACATACACACACACACACATAATTATACACATCACTACTACTACAATGTACTACAATTGACAGCTGCCAGAATTGGCCACGCCGCTCACAGATGGGGGGGGGGGGGGTGCTGTCAGAGAGGTTATGGGGGAGGAAGGCAATTCTCCAAGTGGCAATCCAGGTCTTTCCCCCTCCGTAACCTTCGGTTATGACAAACTTGGCAGTGAAACTTGAATTGCTGGCGTTCAGCCACAGTAGGGAGCTTTGGACAGGTTCTAAAGCAAGTCAAAGAACACCGTCACCTTGGAATCATACTACAAAACAACCTCCAATGGAACTCACATGTCACGCACATAATTAACAAATCCAAAAAACTCCTTCACCAACTTCGTAAAACACGAGGCCAACTTAACCCTTTGAGAGCCGACCCATACTTGAGTGTGTAGAATTCTACACACTTAACACCCCCCCCCCCCCAGTCTGCTCGTAATCTACACCGCCTACATTCGCACGGTTAATATAGAGTACGGCAGTCTCGTGTTATCCAACACCACCCGCACACAGAAGGACCAATTAGAACGCGTTCAGCGACGAGCAGCCCGTATCTGCTTGCGGATCCCCCTTTTTGCACCAGTCTATCACAGCTCACTTCTTCATCATCTCCAACTTCCCACATTAGTCTCCCGGCAACTATTACGACAGGTTACTCTTGCCCACAACATCAAGTACATCCGCGCTCCCCTTCACCTGCAACAGCTTCACCTTGCACGACCAATTACAGAGCGGCCATATGCACTACGACACATGAGAACATCACACACATACCGACACACCAACTCACCCATCAACCTGTCCCTTCACAATTTCAACCAACTACCCCCCGACCTGCGCGAAACAAATAATTGCAAGCATGCGTTTTAAGGGGGCAGCCTGGTCGTAAAATCCCTGAAAATCGATTTGGTAGATTCATATCGAGTGCTGCATCAGTTCAAAGAGCAAAATCTCTGAAAATCTTGTCTCGATCTGACCAGCCGTTCAAGAGTTATGGCCGAAAATGTGCCCTTGCAAGGAAAGATTTTTTTGTTGTACGCTGTCATTTTTTGGCAGTTCTGTATTTGAATGTGAGCAGACCGTGCGCAACTTGTCGTATCATGGAAACACTCCAAGTCCAAAAAAATCACGTTTTTAGCCACGTATTGGGCTGCACGGTGGTGGGCAAAGCCCGCCGCCGTGCAGCAGGACTTTTGCCATCACCCTCATTTAATAATACGTTGCAGATATGTGGCTTGATTATTGTAGTTGACGTTGATTTAGTGAATTTGGCAAGTTTGAGTCATGTCAAGAAGTCAGGTAGGATTCAGTACTAAGCAGTAGTGGAACGTGAGTGGTAGTCTTTGCGGATTTTTGAGGGTATCCTGGATTTAGTTTGCAGCGCTGTGGAAATGGTTTGCTGTGGAGGTCCCAGCACTGGATGTTGTTTCAAAGGTACGACCTCGTAGCACGCCCATGAGAGAACGCCCACTCGTGCCGTTGTGACAGATTACACCCACCCCACGTTGACGGGCCCTATCCCACCACCCATTGCTGCTAGCCATTGGCGGACTATGCTCGGCCAATCGTCAAATTATGCTTTTGATTATGCCACAATTATGCCAACAAATATGCTGAATTATGCTGAATTATGCTCGGTTCTACTATGTATACACGCTGTACACAGAGGATTGAGAAACCACGCATACACACACGGCCATGCCCTAAGCATAATTTTTGTCTAAACCGAAAGATTATGCCGACCTTACATATTGGAATCCGTTTATTATGCCGGAGCATAATTTTTTGACGAAATCCCAAGATTATGCCAAATATTATGCCGGCATAATCCGCCAAGGGCTAATGGCTGCTTCTGGACTTGTTTTAGGTTTGGATCGCGCTCACGGACAGAATGGGCAAGAAAATGTGAAAATTGTAAACGCATTTGTTTGGCTCCTGGGTGGCTCGCACACGGTGTCACTATGCCAGAATTTTGAGCTTTTCCGGCGTGGAAAGCCTGTCAGTGAGGCGCAAGAACTTTTAAATCATGTCCAGAGGGCCAGCATAGTGGCGGGAGTGTGTGGTGAAAATACCGTATTTCCCCGTAAGTTAGTTCTCCCCAATGACAAGTACCCCCTATAAAAAATGCACTTTCCACTGCCGAGGATATCACCCCGAAAGACAGTTCCCCCGAAAGATAGTAAGTTCGTACCCGTCCTACATGTACAGACACCGTACAGTACATACATCATATGCACGGACACTAGAGTTGCGCAGGCTTCTCACTGCGTGTCATTTACCCCCGATAAAAAAGTACTCCCTGAAAGATAGTACCACCCCCGAAAGTTAGTACTCATGTGGCTGCTAAGTTCGAAAGTTAGTACATACTAACTTACGGGGAAATACGGTATTTCACTCAAATCCATTGAGAGACACCAAAGTTACGGTCGGGGGGGGGGGGGGGGGAATGCCATATGAAATTTACGACCAGGCTGCTACCTTAAGGGGCAGCCTGGTCGTAAAATCCCTGAAAATCGAATTTGTAAATTCATATCGAGCGCTATATCAGTTGAAAGAGCATGAATAGCTGCAAAATCTCTGCAAAATCTTGTCTCGATCTGACCAGCCGTTCAAGAGTTGTGGCCGGAAATGTGCCCTTGCAAGGAAAGATCTTTTTTAGATTTTTGGTTGGAGGAAAGCAAATCAGCACACGAAGCACATAAGCCATATAACTTGTTAGTCACCATTGTATTCGACCTCAAGAGTGATGGAATGAAAGGCCTAGTCGAAAACATTATATGGCTTCTGTGCTTCGTGTGCTGAAAGATTTTTTTGTTGCACGCTGTCATTTTTTGGCAGCACTGTATTTGAATGGGAGCAGACCGTGCGCAACTTGTCGTATCATGGAAACACACCCAGGTGTGCAGATTTTGCTCCAAGTGCAAAAAAAGTCCAAAAAATCACGTTAAAAACACGTATTGGACTTTTGCCAGCACCCTCGTGACCTTGCAGATATGTGACTTGATTATTGTAGTTGACGTTGATTGAGTGACTTTGGCAAGTTTGAGTCAAGTCACTATATCAGGTAGGATTCAGTACTAGGCAGGAGTGGAACGTGAGTGGTAGTCTTTGCCGATTTTGGAGGGTATCCTGGATTCGGTTTGAAGCGCTGTGGAAATGGCTTGCTGTGGAAGTCCCAGCACTGGATGTTGTATCAAAGGTACGACCTCGTAGCACGCCCTGAACCTAAAAAATATCAAAAATTGACTTGGGTCTGTGGGAGTGTGACTGTGTGAGAGAACGCCCACTCGTTCCATTGTGGCAGATTCCAGGGCCACGTTGAGGGGCCCTACCCCACCACCCATGGCTGCTTCTGGACTTGTTTTAGGTTTGGATCGCACGCGCGGACAGAATGGGCACGAAAATGTGAAAATATTGTAAATGCATTTTTTTGTCTCCTGGGTGGCTCGCACACCGTGTCACTATGCCGGAATTTTGAGTTTTTCCGGCGTGGAAGGCTGTCAGTGAGGCGCAAGAACTTTTAAATCATGTCCAGAGGGCCAGCATAGTGGCAGGAGTGTGTGGTGAAATTTGTTTGCAGATGATACCACTGTCTTTGCTTCCTCCCCATCTCATGCCACCCTGTACCCCAAAGTTCAGACCTGTATCAACGACATTGTTCACTGGATGAGCACTTGGTAAGCCAAAGGTGACCAAAACCGAGCTCCTCCTTTTTCCCCCTCCCACAGATCCAGTGCC